GTGTGCCTGTGTGTCTCATGGAGAGCAAGCTGGGGTCTGCGAAAAGACCAATTCCTCATGCAAGGAGTTGTATCTGGCCAATAAAGTGATCTCTCCACTTAACCAAAAGACGACCGAAGTCTTGAAAATATTAGGGTTTAAAAAACCCCTGAGTTTTTATGATTTGTACTCGGTACGAGCTCCCCTTCTTCTTCTTATTTTGCGGCCCTGCATCTCTGTCGAGCTGTCAAATTACTGATCGCCCACTGTTTGTATTATTCCCCCCAGCCAGCAGCGACGAACCCCCCAGATCACACGTGGGGGAGAAAGGGGAAGTACTGAACATTGCAATTCTGATTTGTGCCGACCTCTCGGGAGGTACACACTACAGCAGACAGCACCACACAATGTCGAAAGTATATTACAAACATGATAAATAATAACAACCAGTAGCAATAAATATGTAGCAGTGAAAAAAAAACCTGGCAGACCATGCAAACAGTGCATAGTGCAGATGTGTATTAAAGCACTGCAGTTAGCTGTTGAGGATGTGTACTGCAGTGGGATACAAGCTGTTCTTAAGCCTAGTGGTCTGTACTGCAGGGGGGAGACTGGGCTTAATTGCGACAGCGGATGGTGTGAAGAGCAGAGACTTTTTCCTCATAGAGCTGTAGCCAACTGAGCCCACCACACACTCGAGGTAAAAACATGACCCAGACTCGAACCCGGGCTCAAGCAAGTGACTTCAGCAGGTGAGCCACTCAGGACAACCCCCTACCTCTGCTCTTTTTACATGTTTTGGGAGCGTATCAGTGTAGTTTTACATTTTGGTAACGTAGGAGCATCGTCGTTTTCTTTGTATTCTAAACAAGTAAATTCTTTGCGTTTCTTACTGTGATCTTTGATGACTCAGATCTTGGCATCTGACAAATTTGACTAGCTGCGCTCCCTGCAGGTAAAAACATGGTGGTACTGTATTGGAAGCCACTGGATTTTTACCACAAGGTCATGTCCTATAATGAGATCACTTACACAGATAGTCATGAGCCAGCAGATAGACAGCAGATGCTTGGAGCTCAAACTCTGCACTGCGCCCCTATCCTAGCTATCTGAGTGCTGGCTGGAGGTATTTTGGATGAAAACTTGGAAGGTGTAACTTGGGGGGTAATATTGAATTATACTTTTCTCATTTTCTTATTGAAACTTTCAAAAGAATACAAAACTCTTTACAGGAAACAGTTTTTTTCTTCCAGCAACCTGCCAGATCAGCAAGAATAAGTATAAAGAAAGACTCAGTTTCCATTTTACAAGAACTGGTGTGAGAAATCACCTGGTAACTGTAGTGATTGTGCACGTACAATTCCCAGAGCTTCACAGAGCAGCACTATGATTAAATAACACCTATCTATTTGTGTTTTTTTAAAAGCAGATCACTTTTCTCCTCGTTTCTGCATGGTCCGTGTGGGACATGTTCTGTGCTCCAGTCTTCCAGTAGAAGTCAGAGGGAGAGATAGTGACCCCAGTGTTCTTGGTGAAGTGAGGCAAAGGCCATGGTCGAGCTTCAATCTAAACTCTGCTAATTTACTGCTCACAAGTTGTCTCACCTCAGATGTCATTAACGTGTCCCTTAAAGTCTGAATTCTGTTTATTTTTTATGTTCTGGTATTTCTTCTTTGCTTGCATGCATTCTGATGCTTTGCATTCTTCAAGACTAGATGGGGGAGATTTTGAAATCAGTCAGCAAGCCAGTGACTGAGATGCCTTTATTTGTGTATGTTAGGCAGTTACAAACACAAGCATGACTGAATGCATGTCTTTGCGTGAGTTTCTCATCTGGCAGCTCCCCTCTTAGCAGCCCAGACGTAGCAAACCAAGGAACCTTTATGGTGTGTTTGTCCATTCAATCAAAGAACTGTAATGCCGTTAAGTCTGGACTATAAATGAATCACACAGTGTCTGATTGTCAAGACACAAGGCCAAGTTAATCGCACAGTGTCTGATTGTCCATCTCTTATGGTGCCATTAAAAAAAACAGTCAATAATATATACAACATTGTCTCTTTTCTGGCGGCAGTTCAGTGATCAGTTTGTATGCTCTCCCTGTGTTCAGATGAGTTTTTTCCCTCAGTCCAAAGACACACTGGTAGGTTAATTGGCTCCTGTAAAAAGTGGCCCTGGTGTGAGTGTGTGTGTGTTTGTATTTGTTCTTGTGTCTCTCTCTGCCCTGCAACAGACTGGCGTCCTGTCCCAGTTGTACCCCATTCAATTCAATTCAATTTATTTTTATATAGTGCCTTTCACAACAAGGTAGCCCCAAGGCGCTTAACAAAGCAAGTGACCATACAAGTTGCAAATAACCCTACCTTGCACCCAGTGCTGGCTGGGACAGACTCCACTAAGACCCTGAACTGGGAGAGGTGGGTAGATGTTGCCTTTCTTTAATCATTTTAGAGTGATCAAAACATGGGTGTTATCAAAGACTAGTGTGAACAGTTAGCTGTTTGTGAAGGATGTAGACTGACTCTAGCTCAATGCGTTTTTCCGGCAATGCAAAATATCACGAAATCGAAGGCAAAATTCCATCCACCACATAACCGGCTCGATCATATAAGAAGCTCAAAGGACTTGGAAAATGAAGAGTTCTTTTGGTCCCATGGTATAAGATCAAAAACAAACAATAAATACCTTAACCTTACTGACAAATGATCACAGTTATACCCCCTTAAAGTAGGTGTATCAAAATGTGTTTGCCCATTAAAAGTTCTTGCGTAGGTTTCTAGCCCAAATTAATTCATGAATGTGCATGGTTTTCACTACAACATTACCTACAGTATAAATTAATTTAATTTTTACATAAACTGACTTTTCTAATGCCTAGAATTCTGATTTGATCTGCACTGAGATAATTCACATTATATACATGTACGGAAGGGTAAACATCCTTGGAAGAGGTTTTTGAGTTTTTTGTCACTTGTATTTGTGTCCTTATTAGACTCAAATTCTTAAATCTGCCTTGAAGTGGTTTCTTAGCCGACGGCGCAGGAGTAAATACAGACACTCCGCGCAGGCACTTTAGTTTGGTACACAAATTCTGCAGTCATTATCAGTGAAATCCGGGAGAGAAGTGGACTTTATGCTGAGAATCTTGTCATAAATGCAAATGTTCCAGTATTTGAAGAGGTTAAGAGTATGTACAGGAAGTCTACTTCGGGCAAAGGTGAAGTCTGTAAATATCCCCGTTCTGACTTCAGATCACTGCAAATTTGGGGTTTGCAAATCTGCCCATCTCCTACATGGTATTTTTATGAATTTGACTTTTCTTCCGTAAATCATACAGGAACCTGTTTCAAAAAAGAAAGTCAAAGCATGGCCAGGAGCTTTCCAGGCTGTCAGGTGATACAAATCACGATGGGGAATGAGATGGTTTGAAATCAATTCCTGATAAACTCCTCTTGCCAATACACCAAAGTGATTATCGTCTTATTTATTTTCATTTCTTATGACTGGTATTAAACGAGTGACAAACCTTAGGTTTTGAACTTCCCTGGTTAATAATAATAATTCCTTATACTTATATAGCACTTTTCTGGACACTCCACTCAAAGCGCTTTACAGGTAATGGGGATCCCCTCCACCACCACCAGTGTGCAGCCCCACCTGGATGATGCGACGGCAGCCATAGTGCACCAGTCCACTCCCCACACACCAGCTCTCAGTGGGGAAGAGAACAGAGATGGGGATTATTAGGAGGCCATGATTGGTAAAGGTCAATGGGAAATTTTTGCCAAGATGCTGGGGTAACCCCCTCTTTTCGAGAAACACCCTGGGATTTTTAATGACCACAGAGAGTCAGGACCGATTTCATCTGAAGGACAGCACTTTTTTACAGCATAGTGTCCCCGTCACTGTACTGGGGCATAAAGACTCACAGAGACTGCAGGTTGAGCGCCCCCTGCTGGCCCCTCTAACACCTCTTCCACCAACAACCTTAGCTTTCCCAGGAGGTCATCTATCCAGGTACTGACCCGGCTCACACCTGCTGAGCTCCAGTGGGGCTGCCAGTTTTGAGTTGCAGGGTGACATGGCTGATGGCTATGTATCTGAAGAAGTTAGGAAAGTTTCTGAATAATAGGACTTATTCCAGCCAATCATTCTATCACTGCACTCACACACCTGGATGTAGGTTATTGACAAACACCTGCTACAGCCACAGATGAGAATTTTTCACAGAGGCTTGTTCATTACAGCCAACAAGCACTCCTAACGTCTCATTGCAGAGAGGGTTAATAACGAACAGTGACTGAGCTCTTTTTTTTTTTAACTGCTCTTGAAAAAAATGGTTTCCATTAGAATGCAAATGTTTTGGAACGTTATTATCAGATGAGTAAATGGAGATTAATTCAGTGCCTGTATTTCTACAGAAAGAACGATAGCTTGGATTGCAATAACCCAACACGTATGCCTAAACTTCGATAATTCTAAACCTCTGGATAGAATATCTGCACAGGAGATTATTTATAACACTATACATTCAAAGCAAGTGAGATGTTACAGCACATGCTTCCCAGTTATTAAATATGTAACGTCAAACAGTAACAAAAAATGCCAAATATTACCACCAGATGGCAACATCTCATACAAAAGCTTATAGAAGTCAGACTTTAAAGTCATTTTTGCCACCCAGGTTAAAAAGTGAAGAAAAAACGGGCTTTTGCAAACTGGTTAATTCAGGCTTTTTGCCAACTGAACTCAAAGGTATCCTCCTAACTACTGCAATGGCAAAAGCACCACTTTACTTAATAAGCACACATAGCTTATCCCCATCTTGAAAGAAAGATGGTTTAATTTTAGTCAGCATGTTTAACAGTAACACAGCAATGAAAAGGGCAGCTTTGTGGCAAGCTGTGCTTAGTTCATGCAATGCTAAATAACGCCCTCATCCGTAATGAGCTCCAGCATCTAGCATTGTTTCACCCTCAATCCTGGGCTCAAAGGTTAAGGAAAACACTCCAAGTCAAACGTTCAGTGGACAAGTTTTATTTTAAGCATGCAAATACATTTCAGGTACTGCAAACTCCCATCAGTCATCGTTAAAATCCCCACATCCAGGTTGTTCTACACTGGTGAATAGGCCAAGCTAACAGTTCAACACTTCAGTGCGACAGCAAACATTAAACACAAAGAATTGATTCTTTGCTATTCCACATCTCTTAAAAAAAAACACACACACCAATGCAGGCCGGAGAGCCTGGCCTCTCAGATCCCCCAAACAAAAGGGAAACCATTACAATTCTGTAGTTCAAAATAAACAAATGGAATAGAAATTATTCCTATAGATATCTTCCCCCATTCATTTAAAGATTTTATTTTAAATTATATATCTATATATATCTATATTTAAATATAGCTGATTATGTCATAAAAATGAGCATTAAATCCATCTTACGATGGTGCCAGCTTTATACATGACGGATGTGTACCATCTTTTATTTCATTTACAATTCAATCGAACAATAGATTTGCAAAGAAAATGTCTAATACAGACGTAAAAATATTCACAAGTCAGCTCCACAATCGGTTGTACAATTGACAAACAGGCCTCTCAACCCCTCCCTCCCCCCCACCCCCCACCCTTGACGTTTTCCAGCTAAGCAAATTTTTAAAATTCAAACGATACAAAAAGAAGACTTCTTTTGTTTCCAGGGAAAATAATATGCAATAAAACCGTAGAAATGCGGACAGCAAATGCTGCAAAGCTAACCACAATAATTCAGGTGGCTATACAGTGGGCATGTGCAGTACAAATAAAAGCCACATGTGTTGTATCACAACTACAGTATAATGTACTTATTTGCCCAGCTAAAGAACCGCATGCATGTCCATGCCTGAGATAAATTGAGGCCTTTACTGGATGGGCTGGTGGGATGTGTGCAATTTAATTTGTACAGGCAGTACTGCACTTGATTCCATTAAAGAAAGAGGAGATTCCCTGTACCTGTTCACTCGTCGGCTACCCCAGGCAGTTAACGAAGGAGTTGCTAGCTCCGATGCACGATCCTTACTAAAACAAAAACCACACAACCCCCAGCCAGGTAACGCGCGGTAAGTCTGGGCGAGGCAACGATCCGGGCGCTAGCATCACCGATCCAAGGCGTCCCTCTCTTTCGACAGAACTCGATGTAGAAGCAACTGATCCCAAATCCCTCTCCAGAACAGCACGACGACATTTTTTTTTTTAAAAAAAAAGAAGTAACAAAAAAAAAACAACCCTCCCTGCACTAATTACAAAGTAAAAAGATACATACACAAGATTAATTCATGTAATATGCGTTCACCCTCAGTAGGTGCTGAAGATGCCATCAGTAGTTTTGCAACACAAAGAGGATGGTTCTTCCCTGAGGGCTGTAGAGACAGCATTTCTACCCCTCACCCCTTCTGTTATTAAGAAACCAAACAACAGAAAGCCTACAATTCAAGTGCCTGGGTATTCAACTTGACAAATCTCAAAGCTTCTGTGGCTACTTAATCACGCCATTCAGCTGCAGAAAAAAAACACACGCACACTCTTATTTGTCCGAACTGCACTGCCTACACACACCCACCGTATAAACTTTGATATAAAAATCTTTCATTCTTTTTCTCACCGCAACGTTGTTCCCCAGATTGTAGTCTCTGTTTTACTTGTACATTCACTCACTGGTACACAAATGCATGCTAATTACAGTATTCCTCCAAACTAAATCTTACAGGAAAAAAGGTGAAAGCTATTCAGTCCCTACCATACGAACATATGTACAGAAGAACAACAGTACTGCTTGTGTAAGAAATATTAATAGTACAATTGAATGCAACGGTAAGGCCAACAACAGCATAACATTTTTAACATTTATAGCTATGCAGAAAGGCTGGTAAAAAAATAGATTTAGAGTGTGGCATCTCTCGCCAACAACTAGGCAATTTCTAGCACTACCACACAGGCCTGAACACCAGAATAAAGCACTGATTGATGGAAGACACTGAAGAAAAACAATTTAACGGGCTTAAAATCCTGCTAAACGTTTGCGAAAAAACAAACATACAGTCACTTTACGCCTGCTATTCAGAAAAAAAAAATCGAAAACGCATAAAACTTTTAAGATTTATCAAGTTGATGCCCAGACATCACAGTTGTTCATTTCGTTATAAACCTATAATATAAAATCCTATTATGAATAGGAAAGTTGCCTGTTTTACTGCTGAATGCAGCAATGCGCAATTCCATTTCTCTTCACGATGAATACTAGTGCCCTCAGGAGAAAATACCTATTCAAGAATTAAGTGCACAAAACCTTAGTACAACAACTTTTTTTGTGGTCTGTGTAGAATTCACCAACTTCAATGACCATAATCATGATCTTGTTTTTCATGTCATTATCTTTTAACTAGCAGGACAACCCTTGCAAAAAAAACAAACACAAAAAACTGATGACAGATGAATGGGTGACATTTTAAATTATCAGAAAATGAAAAACAAAAAATCCCAGTACAAAATATAACATACAACTTCACAGAAGTTAGCATAAAATGTTTTAAAACCTGTAAAATTTGTAAAATCAAAAGAACAAATTAAAATACAAATGACTCGAATGAAGACTTGTGATAGTGATGCTATTCTGATCTATAAGGATGAAAAAAAGTCAATTATGTGTGCAATGCCTGTGAATGTATTTCCCGGATCTGGGACTGATAAAAAAAAACACCCTTTACAGGTCAATTTCACACCCTGCACTGCCAGACATCATCTAGTGGTTTCATGAGCAACGCTCTCAAATATCGCCCAATTTTAAAAAACAATATTTTTTTCAGTGGGATTTTGTTCAACAGAAATTTAGGAAAGATAAACCTGCGCTAATCTTCAAAATGTAAAATTTCTCGTTTTCAAGGGAATGGCTAAACCGCATAACATTCGGCACCCTAATAAGCCTCTTGAACTGGAAATCGGTCGACATTTGAACTGATGCTGCTAGTGAAGTTGTGCATCCCAGTGTAATTCTTTGATATCCGACATGTACTCATTTAAATGGATATATACTGGATTCCCCTTTTCACTGCACTTCATTTACTGTATTTTGCCATACTAAATCATATTATTTCATTGATTCCAACTCATTTCTCTCTGGCGTTTGATGCAGGGCACTCAAGTCCAGCAAAAAGGACTGTCCCTGGACACAGGGTTGCATATCCCAGCTAATTTGCTTCCATGTGTAATTTATCAGTGGTATCAAAGGTGATTGAGGCATGCTAGTAGCTTAACAGTGAGTAGTCTGTGTCCTGACAAAATACAACACCCACAGATTTTCAAGTTTCAGATAACTATTTGTGGCATTAGTGGTTTCATGTGTAGCATTTGTCTTTTTTCATCCTTTTAGATTCCCAAGCAATGACATTTTACAAATGTCGACATTTTAAGATTAAAAATGTGAAATAAATTAAAACCTATACTGCAATGTCAGCTGCAAGATAAAAACAGCTTTTTATTTATCATTCTAATCTTTCTTTTACATAGTTTTTCATGCAATCTGCATCCCTGCAAATATTTCACTTGCTGTAAATACAGTAACTAGTCATACAAATCAAATTCTGCCACTAGCTGCCAGATTTCATTTCTGTTTAGCGCTGCTACCTGCTGTATGCTTAAATAATGTAGCACGAACAAGGTTACTCCAAAAAAGTGATTAAGGAATTTTAATATATTTGTCACTATGCTAAGCAGTAATTTAAATATTTTCTGAATTGGATCATGGTATGCCTGTAATTCAAACATTTTCTTACTATCAAGGCAACATTACCAAGTTAAAAGGGTGTACTACTGAGATCAGAAACCTGCAGTGTATTTTACATTATATTTGTGAAGTAACACAGCATATATATAATGGCAGAAGTATGTGTTTTTCCTCCTGTAAATATTGTGAATTTTACAGTGCTGTAAATCTCCACAAAACTGTGCTCTCTGCCTTGTGAAGTACATATAAAAGTGCATTTTTTTCCACCAGTCCTACTGCTTTAGAAGCATACTGCAGAACAGTGGTGATTTGGAATCATAAATTAAAATGTGAATTTCTCACCATTAGCAGTGAAACCAAGGGAACATTCATGAAATGTGCAACTGTCACTTAAAACACCAGAGACTTTACAGAAAGGACTACATTACCATACGAATGAAAAGTCAGAAATGGACAGAGAAAAGAAACAGTGTTCCACTAGATGCATTGTTGCAGGGTCCTGCTAGTTTAAAAACTGAGTTGTCTGAAATGAAAAAAAAAATAAAAAGCCATTCTGTATTATAAATGGCTTTTGCTTCTTGCACCAGGCTATTATAATGCTGCTTTTAAGCATTAAGTTATGTCCAAATTCCTAAGATGTTGGAAAATGAACATGTCAATTTGACAAAGTTAAAAAAAATGCAAACGAAAGGGTTCCTTTAATAGTATCAAAAGGTCCACAGGAATCTTTGATGACCCAATTAAAAAAAAAAACTAACGAGTATAAAAAGCAGTATTATAAATGCTTGCTGTGAGATGTCACAAGCAATGTTGTTGGTTTTTTTCTTCTTCCTTTTTTCAGCTTCCGTTCAGTAGCATCTCTCCATTGCTGGCAGGGTGAGTCAACTCTCTCTTTCGGCCCTCTCCAGCCCTGAGGGGATCCGTTTTCACATCCAGTTCGTTAATGCTGAGACCAGGTGAGCCGAGCCCCCCTGCTGGAGTGATGGACTTTCTGAAATGGTTTAATTGCAAGAATCACTTGACGTTACAGATGGGAGTTGGTTAAGAAAGTTATAGTCAGCCAAGCAAGTCTAGTAATAATTATCTCCAATTCCAGGCACAAAAAACAATTTTGTAAAGATACATGGCTTAAAGACACCAGCAGTGAGCATGGCTATCACTTTTCTCTCACTCTCCCCTCTCTGTCTGCAGCGTAAAAACAGTAATGAATGTACATTTTCCCCTTAAAGACATCTCAATTTATTTTTTTAAATTGAAAATACCCAAAATCTGTCTTACTTGAAAGCAATCTTTTTCAGGAGATGACTTCCCATCACGATTTTGTCTTGCTGCTTAATTTGGTGTCCATTACCAGCAGCAGAGCCGTTGGAAACGTGGTTGTTGTGAGAATTAATCCGAAGCTGGCAATCGAGAGCATCCTGCATTATTAATGAGAATAACAGAATTCTAGACAAAGGCTGCTAAAATATTGAATTCGAGAGGTTGGCATCAACGCATTTTCATGCAGTTTTTAGAAGAATCGTTTAAAAGATTTTCTCAAATGAAGAATCACATCTCCTCAAACTCTATTTCATTTTCCTTGTTCCACAGAGTAACAGAATAAAGGATGTGAACAATAGATTTGATAAGAGTGCAATTAGGAGCAACAGATATCCTGCTCTTATAATGAAATATGCAGAATTCTGTTTGAGATGCGCAAAGAAAAAAAAGAAGGTTTTAGAAAAACCTGACAGGGTACTGGGACTGCTCGGCAGTTCTTTTATTTGCATCCCTATTAACATAAAATGAGCACAAAGATTAGAATGCTGGCAGTGCAACAGATTGGGCTAACCTCTAGTTTGTCATCCTGGACGTCTGCTTCGTCGGCATCTAGAGCAGAAAGTTCAAGTTCAATGTCTCTCTCTGGCTCGTCGTCCACCAGGTCTTCAGCAAAATCAGCCTGTCAAACAGGGGAGAGGGAAAGGATGGCCAATACGTCACTTTTTTTTTGTCACAATTGAAAAACAGAGGTCGGTTCTCGCTGGCTGCATCTCGGGAAACATAACATTTAAACAGCTCTCACGATCACAGGATCGTCATGGCTCACAGCAAGCCATGTCTTTACAGTCTTTCCACACGGCATTAACTACATCTTCAGCCATTATACTAAACAGTGCCATTAAGTTCCTTTGACATTGACTGTTCTTTAAATCCACACTCCTCAGGGACAATTTACACCGTTCCAAAGCAAAATGCTTCACATTTCTACAAAACAAGAGAAGCTTTCATTTTTCTGTCCTTGGAGATCTGCAACGGAAGCAGCACTCAGGTCTTTTTCCAAAAGAAACTATAGATACAAAATGGGAAATGCAGAGCTTGAAGAGGCTACTTATAAAACGCGTTTATGTTGACACACAGGTCATAGCTACCAGACAGTGTCGGGGGGGACCACTGATTTCTCTGTGAAAGAACACATGGCAAAAATGTCACGTTCTCACCTGCTGCAGGTCTGTGCTTAAGGTATCTCCAGTGGTGGAAGACTTCCGCTGGGCTTTCAGATCTGAGACTCCCAGCTGATCACTGCAAAGGCACGACGGTAGAGTTACAGACGTTAAAACATCGGACTTTTTCTTACAAGAAGCATTTATATATGCATAACCGACAGACAAGGGCTTAAGCCTAGCATGGCTGTTGAAAGCATGAGAAGCTTCTTAAGAAAGAAGTAAGACGATCTGAATTTGGTATCAGAATGGGTGAACAAAGCCAGCGAGTTGTGAAAGTCTACAGAACAGGCTACCAAAGGCTGGCATTGTGTGGCATAATGAAAACATGCAAATTAGAGGTGTAATTGACAGAATCACATAATAACGTACTAAGGAAGGTCTTATTTTAAGAATATGTTGTAAAGCAGGCAAATGCTGTTTAAACAGTTGGAATGTTGCAGTACTACGTCTGAAACAATGCATCAAAGCTCGGCTCCATAATCCATATTTAACAACGATTACATTTTTAAAAAACAAAAGATCTCGCACTATACCTTTCCAGAAAACTGGAATGGTTTGAGGAGTCTGACCCACATGAGCTCCATCTAGAATCACTGTGGTTAATGTAAGGACCGTAGTCTAGAGAGGAAAGGAAATTCACTTTCAGCACTATGTATACTTGCAATGTGACTTGAAATAGACTTGACTGAAATGGAACGCAAAATACATTCAGAAACTGTAGCCCTTTATGAGCAGGCACAGGAAAATCTGCCACCTGACAATGTAATGTTCAACAAAAATGAAAAGCAGATATCAGTAAACCTAAAAGTGAAGTGTATATTCACACTTCAGCCCTGCTGCAAGCAAAGAGGATTCTGAGTTTAGTCTACAGTAAGTGTTCAGTTTGCATCTTGTGTAAAAATGCAATTGAAAACCTTTTTTTTATAAGAATGAAAAAATGTCTGTCCAACTGAACCTGCAAGTATAAAATGTTTATTGCAAAAATAACATTAATTTCTAAATACAGTAAAGATGCTTTTCATTTAGAGCTATATAACAATGACCCTGTGAAATGTACGGTAAATACAGATAATTAATGATCTGTGAGGAGTTTCTTTGAGGTCTGTTTAGCCAGTATTCTACACTGTGAAATAGTGAAACCTGCTTCTCTTACTGTTAGGAAATGTACATCAGATCTTCTGCTTCGTGTAAACAGACATTTCGTACATCTTAGCTGTAAGGTTCTCCCATGTTTATTTTAAACTGACATCTCCATTCTCCTATTTTCTTAAATACACAGTGATCCCTTGCCACCTTCAAAAGTTACGTTCCTGAAAACCCTTGCAGCAGGTAAAGACATGGTTGGTAAACTTAAGATCTTGTGGGAAGAACTGGATTAGGGAACTAAAAACAGTATTCAACTTATTAAAATCCTATAATAAAGTAAAACAATAACATCAGAGTAAATAAAATCTAAATATATTTTGGAGAAATAGTATTGTATAGTTTTAAAAGAGCTCCTGGTATAATTGTTATGATAATGCTCATGTACATTGAGTCACGTGCCCTTAAGCGTCTCTGTTCCACTTCTAAACTTCCTCACTTTTCATTGTACAAATGATAAATTCTTCTACACCAGACAACTGACCAACAGCACTATTATTTAGTCCTCACACCAAATTAAGCACTTCAAGCTCATCGTGGATCTAGATTGCTTTAAAGCCATTTGAATTTATTATTTAACTAAGTTATCCTATTGCATTTATTTAGTCCAATGCAATGATGTACACTAATGTGCTTAGAAAACTTTGAGAATGTGAGAAAAATTGCAGACACACCCAGAGCCAGCACGCATTGCAGCTCAGAGGTGCTTCTTTCACTTGTGGATACTCAAAACCACGCAAGGTAAATTTACTTATAGCAAGGGATTACTGTACTTATTCTATATTCTCTTATATACACCAAATTCAAATGGCAAATCTAAAGGAGTATATTGATAGCAGACAAGTTAATAAAATTAAAACCACATTAGAAATAAACTACCTTTAATCATCTTCATTAGCTTGTCCCCTGATACTTAAAATTACCATTTCCCTTTGTAGCCTCATAATTAAAATGACTACACTGTTTTCACATGGCTTTTATTCACTGCTTGGTATAACTTTACAGGCACAACATTTGCAGGACAGAAAACAGTGGGAAATACACTAGAACACTTCATGAGCTTTACACTAACATAGTTTTCTACTCACCTCGGAAATTGATAGGCTTAGTGGTACTTCCTTGGGAAGCAGTGGCCTGGATGGGGTCAGTGGTGTGGTAGCCAGTCCGGGAAGACCTGGAAATTGCACCCCACTTGGAGATTATGGGGCCTTCTCCAAATGGGATAATAGGATCCTCGTCCTTCAGTCTTCTGTGAGGCTCAAACAGGTGCATTCGCCTTTTTATGCTAAGACTGTCGTGATCCTGTGGAATGTCACAAAGTACATCTTTTTTTTTACATGTTGGACACTTTGTTGTTGTGGCACTTTGATGTATTCAGCTCATAGGGGATAGGAGTGGCCTGGATTCCTGCTATAAGGTATTAAAAAGCAGGATAAAAGGGCGGGAAAAGACAAAGCAGTTAACTATATAAGCATGGCCTTAGAGAACATGGTTCAGAGACTTTTTTTTCCCCTGTTTGCATAAAAATCGAGAAATTTTCATGAACGGCATAATTGCACTAAATCAGATGCTACCATATTTTTGGTAATTCTGTAACACCACTGTACGAATTATTCATTGTACAATGATATGACATGATGACAGTTTCCCCCCGTGTATTACACAGTACTGCCCTTTTTTGGAGGAATTCTAGATGCTTATGCTACTGTACATGTTCTATTTGATTCTCCTGCAAAGATCAAGTGAATAACAGGTCAGTCTAATCCTGTAGATAAGGGAGCACCAAAAGCAAACAAATGTATCGCCTTTCAAACGCATACAAAGCAGACTAGTTTATGTAAAACAAATCCTGATTTTGTAACGCAAAGCAGTATTACAACACAAGTTTGGGTCTTTTTCATTTAGGAGGACACGAGTTCACCGATTTCTGCAGAAGGGAGTTAAAGAAAAGAGTTAAGTGTTACACATCACTAAAGTGAATCCAATTGTGAGGATCAGCATAACAGACTACAGAGAAGGGAATAGCATTCATCCCAATAGACTGTGATTGCTAACTATACAACTTTATTTTTTAATATTTTACCAGGCAAGTCAATCAAGAGCAATTTTTTTTTCTTTACAGTGATGACTTTAGACAGTTAAACATCGGAGATCTTTGTGAACCCCACACTGCTCCATGTAAAGTATCCAGGACAGACTTACCATTAATTCCACACTGGAATTGGCCATTACATCCTTTGGTTCAGAGTCAATAACATTAATGCAAGTGCTGATGGTGCCACAGGACCAGGGAGAGTAGTGGGAAGGAGGATCTTCACCCTTGTACTTGGAACTCACATAATCGCCTGAATTGTCTGAAAACTTGAGAGAAGGAAGAAACTACTTAGTGCATTTCATCTTAACGTCTTCCCTGCCTTTTTTCTTACACAGTTTTGGAACCTGTTGGCCCACATGTGTTCTTATCCCCTGCTCTTTTCCACAAGTTCGGGTTTTCCACTGTGGACACCAGTACTGGAGGACAGCGCCAGAAACACTAAACGATTCAGATCTGTAGGACGATGTGCCATGTTCCAGCTATTTTGGCCTTTTCTTTTTCGAAAACAGTAACACCAATCTGAGCTCTCAGCACTGCCAAGAAGATCTGTTGCCCAGCAACTGTCACAGCTTAAAATGCATTGGAAAAATACCCTTAAGAGAAATTAGCTTAAATTGAACACCACATAACTACAACGAGAAATGCAAATAAACACTGGACTTGCTAACAGGTCTTCTGAATTTAGTGTGATCAAAAGGCTAGGTCACAAACGAGAGACAGCCATCTCATGTTTTTATTATTGCAAGAAGAATGGCAAAATCCAGCACACGATACAAGATTTGCTCAAAGACCAGAACAATATGTTTTGAGCCCAAACAAAACTGGAAGATTGATTTTCAGCAAGGTTATTATGTAGCTGAAAATGGAAGAAAAAAAAAACCTCAAACCGAATGGGCAGGAGAAACTAGGAGAATAATGTCCCTTTGGGAAAAAAAAAAATATGAAGGATAGATATTATGTTATAAATAAAGTGAATGAAAGTCGAGGGAGTGACTGAAGGTTTACAAACAGGTTATGTACACGATTCACACTGTCGCCAAGCACACTGTACATGCACAGCAGTTATTACAGAGCAGTATGGTAACAGGCTCTAAATCTTATTAAATATTTTTTTTACATATGAATCATAGGTTAGATTTCAGACGACTGTCATAAAAAACCCTGACACAAGTAAAGCACGCTGATTCATGATAAGGGGTGGACATGGGATTTTTCAAGCAACTTCATATTTCCTCCACACATACTGTTATTCATACCTAAAAGGTATGACATTCAAATTCTTTGACCTTTAAAGAGGTGAATTATTCAATATACACTGCACTTGTGTTTTATGCAAAATATTTTTATGCAAATCCGTGTCTTTGCGGCCGGTCGGCTATGAAACAATACATGAAAAAAATCAAATAATACTGGAAATTCAAATCTCGGCAAATTCAAATCTGGCCCAACACGCACCTGAGCTAGGCATGGGGAAGTAGCTCCGGAGCCTATAGCACGTCAGTGCTTTCTCTATCGTGCGGCATCACCTTTAATACGGCTCGTAGGCCAAAAACAAGTACAAAGGGGAAAGGCGAATAAAGACAAGTGCCTGATTTGGCATTCCATTTTTTTTTTAGATTTTGAACAAGGGTTGGAACGACGGTGATCAGTTTGGCACATATATATGGCAAGAATGAATCTTAGATTTGTGCAATTAGGGACAGAGAGAAGGGCATTCATGACAGCTGTGCATCTGCTGTGTTCCCTGCATTTTATCATTACATTTTATTTGACATGTTTTGCATACCGTACAGTACTGTATTTGCTGTATTACGGTTTTCATAATTCTTTAAAAACAAAAATACACATACTAATATACTTCAAATTGATTTTACTTCAATACAAAGGTCTAAGGGGGGCGATTTTTGGCATACAAGCTAAACCTAACTGCCACGTCAAACACGAGTTTACTGTAAAGTACACTGTGCATAGATGTAACCAGGCTCTTTGAGGTCTGTTCTTAGTGTCGCTTCGTGTTTGTAATTGCAGCTTTCGAAAGAGTTTCAAAGGAGCTTCAAAATCAAGCTGAACAATTTTTTCCCCCACTTTTTAAGCGCGGACTTATGAAGTCAGGATTTTTGCAAAGACAGCTTTGGCCAGCACTGGAAATGCCAGCTGGGGAACTTTCCTCAAAGAGCCTCGCGCTGGGGAAGCTGAAACGGCCAGTGAGGCATGGGAACAGGTTGAAAAAAAGAAGAAAGAAAAACACAACGTTTCTACCTGAAGAAGGCTCCACGGCCGAAACGCTGTGTTTTCTTTCAGCGTGGAAGAAACCTATTACTTGTTCCTATGCAGCCTACGCATGCTGACGCAGCAGCCCACCTGAACTACTATGGGAACAGGTTTACCGGCTCGGGATCGGATTTGATGAGTCACCAGGAGCAGCAGCAGGTGCGCACACACACTCAAACACCCTGGTCCCCCACAAGCCCACAAGCGAGGACCCCCCCAGAACCCCCGCAGGCCTACCTCAGTGCTGAAATCGACGGTGAAGAGAGGGGAGGAGGGGGAGGGGGACTGCGTGGCGGGCGGCAGGGCAGGGGACACCAGCGGAGGGGGCTTCTGGCTGTGGTAGTGAGCCCACTGCTCCGGCTTCCTTCTGAACAGCTCCTCGTAGCCGACCTGCATTCGGCTGTATGAGTCCTGCAGCACAACAAGCAACACCTTTGTGAAAACAAGTATGGGGCGGGGGTTAAGGGATTCTCTAAAATCGCACGGGAAAAAGTCGGTCTGAGAGACGTGCCTGATGAGGAAAGATAAGAAGCTTAGGAAGTGCATTTGAAAAATAAACTATTTTATATATTTACAGTACACTTTTTTTTCAGTTCCACAGTGTTTTGTTCATGACAGTACTCTTTCATGAATTCCTGCTGGAATTCCACTGTTTAATGACACTGCAGCTGTAGAATTTTCTCACTGAATGAACACATATTGTAAATCTCGCGTAATTTAAACATTTTTCTTATTTAAAATAATGGTAAATGCTATAGTTGCGTTCCGCGCGCGTGCGTTTGACCCTACTTACACCCTATAGACACGAATGATGGGACGTGCCATAGACTAAATACATCAACTTGTTACATGTCTGTGTACATTTTTGTATTTTATACATGTACACGTACAAATACGTACAATATTAGTAAACATCAGTTATGTTTACTGTAAAGGGAATTTGAGAGAGAGGGAGAGAAAACAATTCTCAACCACAGCATCACTGTGTACCAGCATTCCTGATGCGCCAACACGACACTTGCGTCATGAGCGTCAGGTGGCCAACAGCGTAACTATGGAGTGCGCGTCATTTTGACTTGCGCTACGTAATTTAAACAAAGATATACTTGAGGGTAGATGACGTAATTTAAAACAAAACCCGTATTTCAAACTCGCGAACCCACTGTACTTAAGAAAACTGGCATACTACAGCCATACAATCTACTTCAAGGAGGACATGACCCAACACACAGCTGGACCGCAGGGATTAACTAATAATAATAATAAAATAATAATAATAATAATAATAATAATAATA